AAGGACTGATAAAACAATAAACAAATTTATTAAAACATGATATTGCTAAAAAATAAATAGTATTTGACCCACAGTGTACAAAGTGAGAAAACTCTCAAAGATGATAAAAATGCTAAAATTCCCAAATGGTAAAAATTTTTGTTAAAAAAAATAAAACTAGGCCTTGATGATAAAACACACACTAATATAGGTGTTCAAATCAAACCTATTATCATTGCCCTTTATCATATACTCTGCTATTTTTCTCTGTCAGCTTACCACAGTGATATCTCCAGGATTAAGAGAATTTTTTCCTAACATGGATGAGAGGGCAGAATTTGCTCTGGGAAAAGCTGCAGCACCATTTAATGATAGAGTGATCTCTGTGACTTCATGTCCACTGTAAAAAGATTAAAAAGTACTTTTAGTACAGCACCAAAAACAGGACTAAATTAATTCAAATTGTAAACTGTAAGTGGTAAATTAAAAGAGAGGTAGATACATCAAGTCTGCAGCCAAGTGGCCCATGCAGTTGGAACTTATCCTGGTTTCCTTAGCGCAAAGCAACTAGGAGTATTATTACTACTTTCCCCTGCCCCAGGGATGAGATACCAGTCCCTCACAAGGTCACCCCCAGCATTTCATCTGGCTCCCTCATAATTTGCTGGTATCCATTTATACTCCTAGAGTCCAGCACTCTAACCATTAGGCCACTGTATCTCCCACACAAAAGAGAGGTACCAGCAAACATCAACCCTTTACAACCTAAGATCAGTATCTATATTCTCCATACTGTTTTCTATACACTTCCTAAGGTGCTGACAAAGAGATTTTGTTTAACAACCAAGAGCTCCTGTACTTATTGATCATTTCCATTATTCTCATGACCTTGAATGTTTGATTCAGGGCTGATAATATAAGGAGAAAATAGATGCTAGTCACCCTTAGGGGTTAAAGGGTTAACTCAAAACCTGTTCCAGCTTCTCAGTTGGTGGAGATGAGATAAAAAGTGTTGATATGTTTTCCGTCACTCATCCTATATCAACCACACTGAGCCTAACACTGAGCCTTAATGATTAAAATCACCTTTGAACTGCCCGATTTTGAAGCTCTTGACCTAGTCTTTGAAGTTTTGATCCTCCTTCTGTGTTTTGTGCGATGTGATTTAACAAGCACTGTGCATACAGGTAGGTGTGCTGTCCATAACATACCATCCTCTGGAAAGTAATCCATACAAAATTTATAACTACAGAGCATCATGTATTGAAGGCTATGAAGTTTCACAAAACCAGTCAGAAATTATATTTCAACATACAGAAAATTCTGGAAGGTTGCTTTCCATTGTCATTTCTCCTTCTTCCAGAAAAGAACAAGCTGAAGTCTTGAGCACTCGGGAAAACACCTCAATTTGATGGCAGGCTGTAGAGACACTTCTAATCTCACCCTGATATCCTGCATCAGAAATCAGCTGCAAAAAGACATGATATTGGCAGTGAGTGAATTTAGGATAATTTTCATTTGTGCAGAAATGGTTTCAAAATGACTGAACACAGAGTTATTAATATAACAAACAGTAGATAACAACCTCCAGAGTAATCTGAGGGGTTTTGTTTTAACCCTTTGATATATTTCTAGGAGAAAATAGTTTTTTCTAAAAATGTTCATTTTGTACTGTGGCTTTAAATGGACTAATCATACTTTTAATCAAAATCGCAATTTATCTTGACTGAAAGTAAATTTCACCAATTTTTTCTATTACCATACACATCATCTAAAGGAGGCCAATTTATTAATATCAATTGAGATTGGTCTTTTTTTAATAGTTTGTTTCTTCCATCATTGACATACTCAGTGTCGTTAATTTTACTTATAAAAAATAATACTTTACAGTTCCAAAAACAAACAATATACTTTACCCTACACTGTAATACAGAGATAGGTGAGATAAAGAGCACTAATTGTTTATAGTTCAGCACAGAAAAAATTTAGTACAAAAACTTTTAAACTGAGTTTGATGAAAATGAAAAAGTTATCAAACCTTGATAGTAAAATTGAGCATCAGGCAGTCAGGATAGTGCTCTGCCAGCTTATAAAACATTGAACGCCATGTCTGGTGAACAATCATGTCTTCTAGCCAGGAAGGTGTCTGCCAACAGAACAAGAGAAAATTCAATATAATGGAACATCATCCAATCAAATAAATGAATAAACTGAATGTCACATTTCTCAGTGGACATCCACTAGGTGAATTCTACGACCTGAATTCCATTTTCACCAGTAACATAACCAAGTGGTAAATGTGATGGACTAAGAGGTTTGGATTTTTCTGCCATGAAGAGCATCAAACAGGTATTCTACAGCTAGCTTTTTCCTTACCTCTCCCTCTGCAGAAAAAATTGAGTCAGCCTTTTTTGGATCAAAGTGTTTGATAATTAGGGTTTCCAGATGATTTTCAACCATTTGTTCAACATCTGTCACTTTAGCTCCTGTGAAAATAACAGTTAAAGTTAGCAATCCTATTTTTTTTATCAAAGACCATGGGAAATGAAATGTTCTCTGGCTTAGTAAATATTAATGACATGTGTGATGATGCCAACACAACCTCAATATGTAAACTTTAAAATTCTTTGTAAAATGCCATTAATAATAGTATGCCTGTTTGAACAGCATGTTTCACTTGGACCTCAAGTGGTTCTCAAACTCTAGAAAGTTTATCAGTTTAGTTTCACATGGTAGCAATACAAAATCAGAGAATATTTGGAAATCATTGTTAAGCAGTAATGTATACTTCACTTTTATGTGATTATGGCAAAGTCAAAGACAAATCATGATCTCACAACACAACATTGTAGTATCATATAATTACCTTACCTGTTACAATCAACCAGTTAGCTATGAGATTTGTACTCTGAGCAATTCCAGTATAATTTTCAGATAACATCTTTGCCATTTCTTCATGGATCCCTCCTGTCTGGTAATATCTACAATATAATATTTACATTTATTTTTGAAGTTACAAGTTACACATTAAGAACACAATAGAGAACAATAGAGATGGACAACATACCAGGACCTGGACATCTGAAACATGGCTTGATCATAAGGCCCACTGCCTTAATCAACAAAGAAGTTACTGTAGACCTTGTCAAGACAAGACAATTAACTAGTAGAGTGCCTGTCTTCCCATTGAGTATAACCAGGGAAACATAGTAACATATCAATGTAGTTTTATCATTGGGCCCACTGCCTTTATCACCAAAAATATAAGGGTTAACCTTGTTAAGAAAAGACACTCAACTAGCATAGTGCCTGTCTTCCCATATAGTATAAACAGAGAAATATATCAACATTCTGGGGTGTTACCTGTGATGGACAAATCTTGTCCAAAAAGGAAAATAATGGGGATAAATTTTGGCAGTAATATACCACTTGTAATGTTATCATAACATTTAGTCTAGCTTTTTAGTGCTGCAATTTATCAGAGTTATGTAACTCATGTTTTCTAATATTCAAGGCTGGTCTAGGCTCCCAGCTTGTTTTCCCACTGTAAATGGAGAGCGGGCAGTAGAGTAATAAAAACAATAGTATACCGCAACAACTTCCCTAACAACCGCAACTGCTGTTTGTCTCTCACCAGCTCTTTTCCTCATTTACACTGAGCCCTGAATAAGCTACCAATTTTCGAACGTAGCTGTGTTGCTTAAAAAATTCGTTTGTTTTGAGCCTTGTCTTAACGAAATAACCAATCTAAGCCTCATAGATGCTGACCTCCTGATATTGTTGAAAATTTCCGGTTCCATGATAAAGTCTTTTGTGGCAAAGTTTTGCATACATTCTTGTATAACAACTTCATTGTCCCTTTTTTCATCGGACGGACTCAGCTAAACAATAAAAAAAGGAAAATGTACGTTCAATAAGCAAGCCAGCTTACCTAATCGTGAAGTAGGACATATTAAATGAGGTATTCAGAAAAGAGAAAATCTCAACCTACAGCTGCTTCGTCCCATCCAACATCTTCTCCATAGTCATCCATAATTTGTAATGGGAAAAAGAGAAACTTCGTCAAAGGAGAGAACGAAAATTTGATCCTAAGGCAGTGTAAAGAACGGTACACGGTTTGAAGGCCGCCATCTTGAATCTACGTCAGCGGATATCTGCTGTAGCTTTATGACTTTCATGTAACTTTAACATGTCCCACGGTGCACTTCGGTTTTCCAAAATTTTCCTGTCATCTTGTTGCGTCATCCGCATATCCTTATTGCATAATGTTCTTCGACCAATCAAATCGTACAGTTGCGTAAGATCGGACTTTGTTCACTGCACATGACGTGAAGGCAGTGGCAAAGTTTAGACTTGTTGTACGTTATTTCAGCGGTAAGACACTCTCTACAACATTTGATCCTGAGCTATGAAATTTTGGTCTTCAGAACATATCTTCAAGTGAGTTATAAACCATTTTGTTCCTTTTTCATCAACTTTAAGCTAAAAAATGTGTGTCGATTTCTGAAGTCCCCATACATTCACGTGCTATAAATTGAAACTCACGTGTGATGTCGGAAACGTACTCCACATCATGTCCATTTTGTAATCAAACAACTGAGGCCTCTTTGCTTCAAGCTTAAAGTAGAAATTTTTATTCCTTGATTTATGGTTTAATGGGTTTGAAACTTTTCTTTCGTTTGAAAATTCAACCATGCATGTACAAACAAGTGCCCTCTTAAATGTTTATAGCAACGTGAAACTTGACTTGATTGCAATCGTGCTAATTTTCGGCAGAAGTTTACTGTGAAACATCACTTTCTGTCTTCCATAGGCCAGAAATCCTTGCTCAAGGCTTAAGTGTTCAATTTTTTTCTCCGCTGAGTTGGCATAAGAAAGTAAATAACGCTGCAGCCAACACTTCAGTCCTTCCCCATTACGTAACCATCGACATGTGAAGTTGTTGTGTATTGGGAGCCCTTAAGTGAAAAAACTGGGAAAGTAGATTTTATAATATGTTTGAGGTCGACTTTGTCTCAGTCAATGTTTATTATACTGGACGTTTTAAGTATGGAGACAGCCTCTGAACTTGTGAAACTATATCATTCATCATAATGATTGCAGTTAGGGTCCAGTTCAGATGCGGTACTTCAGCTGAGCAGAATCAAATTCAACGAATTAAGTTCATGTGAAGTATGATGAGACGGTTATCACTTATCTTCTTCTGGCTGCAAAATAGGCTAAGATGGTTTGCATTCTTCTTCTTCTTTTTACACTGTTTTCCAGCATTTTGAGTAGAAGAAAGTCTCTTGCTTGCAGATTGCTTCTGAAATCCATGGTGTCTGCCATGTTTTTAATTGTTTGCTAAACCAATGACAGAATATTAACTGTCTTTGATTAATTAATTTTGGCCAAATAAAGTTGAGCATCTGAACTAGTTCAGCATTTGACTCAATTCAGCCAGGATTACCTAACTTAGGTCAGCCTATTGAGGAATTTGATTTGGTGCAGCTGAAGTACAGTGTCTGAACTAGGCTTAACATGGTTTGTTTGGTTGTTCATTAATTCTTAAGCCTTAGCTCCAATATCAGACATTTTTAGTCAACATTTTGTTTGTTGCACTCCACTTGGTGTGGCTGAACTATCACTTAAAGACAAGACTGAGAGGTAGCTTCATGCACAGTTTGACTGCTTGGTAGGGGTGATACATATGCTAGAATTACAATAAAAGTGTGTCGGAAGGTTGTGTTTCTACTTTGTTTGCAATTAATCAGACTGACTAGGGTTATCCTTAGTGGCTATTTTGTTACTTCCTCATTACTAGCAATGTTATATAACCAACAAGCTTCCCAGGGATGACTCTTTAATAATTAATTTAATAATTCTTAGCTAAGAATGTTCATCTAAATATTCTAATTCAGATCAACATAGGTGTCTCTGAAGCAATACTTAATCACTGAACAATGCTTAATGCTCGAATTGAATTGTTGTTTTTTTTCCTGCATTCTGTTGGGAAATCTGTTTCATCAAAACCACTCATGCAAAAGGAATTCTCTGTAAATCATAAATGTTTTATCTTATAAAATGTGTTCAAAAATGAACTTCATTCCATGATACAAGATCCAAAGATTCTAAACCAGCTTCAAACGAAGGTTCCAAGTAGATGCTTAGATTGTCACTGATTTAAGATGTGAAATTGCTTTCTTTGTGAAGGTAAACTAAACCAAGAGCTAAAGAGAAGAGAAATTTCATTTGAAATAGCACCCATGGAAAGGTTTAGTTCTAAAAAGTACACATAATCGCAGTCAATTATTTGCAACAGAGTGACTTTGACATACAAGTTAACCTCAGTACTTAGGTGTCAGTCTCTCTGAAAGGCTTTGGTAAAAAAATTTAATTATTTGTATCTTCAGCATTCTCATGGTAGTAACTAATGTTATTGTTTTTTTCTCAAAGTCACTGCTGGGATCGTGTCACTCAAGCAGTATGGAGAAAGTATCCTAATGATCTCAATCCTAATGTGAAAACTATGGATGTTCTGGAGAGACATGTTGATGAACAAGGACAATTACACACTACTAGACTTGTAGGCACTGAGGGATTTTTACCTTCATGGGTTTGTAACATGATTGGAGTTGATAACCTCTGTTATGCCTATGAACACTCTGTTGTTGATCCAGTTAAAAAGACAATGACAATGACTAGTAGGAATGTAACACTGTCAGGCTGGGCGGATGTAGATGAGACAGTAACTTATACTCAAGACCAAGAAGTTAACAAGTGAGTCAAAGAGGAATGTATTTTTTC